AGTCTTAAAATTTATATATCTACAATTAAAGTCTTAAGCTCATCACAAAACTATGTTGGCCTTTGATATGTTACTAACAGGTCTTGTGATTTTGTGAACTTACGTATACTTAAGTTACTTACGTATAAATCAACATTAATGTGTTGCATAAATATCCCAGATTTAAAAATTATAATTTTTATCTGCAGTCATTTTTAGTAAAGAAAAATTCAACAGCATACATGAGCTGAAATATTTAATTTTGTACATTCTGTGGGTTTCTTCTGGAGTCACTTTATTGGACTATGTGATTTGAGGCTACCGCTAACGAGCTGCTAATATACCCTTGCTAACTAGCAGCTAGCGTTCTGTCATAAGTAAGTGCTAATTTCTCTCCAGTTGACCGGATGAGGTTTGTGCATTCCTTTGGAGGTCTTAAAAGTCTTAAGTTTGAGTTGGGGAAAGCTGCAGAAACCCTGCTGGAGAAATGTCTGGCTGCCTGGTGGCAACATATAAATAAGGTTGAGTTGTTTGAGAGTTTTTAGTTTGAGTGTGTGGAGCAACTCGACTGCCTCCAAGATGCACGAAGAAGTCAGAGAGGAAGTTTGAGACGAGAACAGAGAGAGCCGGCCTGGCAGGAAGCGCTGGCCTTCACACTTTTCAGAACTTTTGCTGAATTTGAAATAAATTTTTACTCTTGAAGTATTTTTCCTGATTCAGAACATGACACATCTTACAGTAAGAGTCAGGATTTTGATGGAATTGGACATTTATCTTAAAAAACGGTAAAACTTTGAGAGGCTCTCTGACAGTGAAATGACAGAGTCTTTTTTTGGAGGGTTCAAATGGATTTTTGCAATGCTCAGCATCTTTCAACCTCTCAATCCAGAAGCACTTGAAGGTCTGAAGACGCACCACACTGGCACATCCTGTAGCGCAGCTAACTAGCCTGTCAGCGGCTCACTTATCACACGCCCGTCCTTCCAGGTGGAGGTCGGACTCCAGTCAGCAGATATTTTTCTTTCCCGCTGAGCTGCTGGGGGAAGATGAGCCGTTTCTTCCAGGATGTGGAGAAATCACCGTTTTACAGTCGCCTTGTCATTTAGAAATGTGTTTGTTTCCAGGAGCGTCTGAACCCTTCTAGCTCTTAACCCTGCTGGTTAACTAGGGTTAACTAGTTACATTTCCTGGGTTTAGGGTTCGCCTGCAGCCTACCTCATTGAAGTATTTTTGAATTTGAAACATCTCGCTGTGTATAATGAATCGATATGAGTTTTAACTTTTAAAAATATTGAATTTCGTCTCGTGTTGAGCTGCAGCAGCAGGTTTGCCTGTGTGCTGTTATCGGTTGGGTCGTATGGAAAGCCGTAAAGCCTGTGCACACGTTGTTCCTGTTTCTCCAGGAACCTGGTGCCGGTGACTCAGCTGTACGTCAGTGTGGATGCCAGCACCAAGGACAGCCTGAAGAAGATTGATCGGCCTCTTTTTAAGGACTTCTGGCCTCGTTTCCTCGACTGCCTCAGGGCTCTGGGAGAGAAAGTAAGTTCTGCTGGTTCTAACGTTGTTTCGATGCTTCCCTGCTGCAACGCTGCACCTGAACCATCGAAGGGTTAATGACCAACGCAGCTGCTGGAGCAGTGAAGAAACCAGACTGCTGCTCTCGGGTAGCAACTCGTTACATTTACTGGAGGAGTTTTTGGGAGCGGGAGGATTATTTTTATGTTTTTTACTCGAGTTAAATTTCTGGTTTTTTAACCTCTGAATGAAAAACAAACATGTTTTAACCAACAATTCACCAGGCAGACTCACAC